TGTAATCCAAATGAGAAATCTCTCTCGGGCTATATTTGTCAGAATGGGATCGGATGGCAAATGTAAGTGGTTTGTGGTCTGTGAAAATGGTGAAGTCACGACCCTCAAGGAAGTGTCGGAAATGTTTTACGGCTAGGTAAATGGCAAGAAGTTCACGGCCAAACGTGCTATATCTCGTCTCGGCAGGTGAAAGCTTCTTGGAGAAGAGTGCCAACGGTCGTGTCGAGTTGTTGATATGCTGTTGGAGGACTGCTCCTACGGCAACGGTTGAAGCATCAACCATCAGGGACAATGGGGCTTCTGGAGCAGGATGAGTGAGCAAGGTAGAATCAGCAAGGGAGGTCTTTAGTCTCTCAAATGCAGTCAGCGCGTGGCCACGTAACTCAAGGGGACCCTTGGGACCAGAGAGCAAGTTGGTGAGTGGCAGCATAAGGTCGGCACAGTTCGGTAGGAACCGGCGGTAAAAGTTTACCATGCCAAGGAAACGTTGCAGCTGACGCTTGGAGGTTGGTGGAGGAAAGTCACGAATGGCCTCAACCTTGGAAGAGAGGGGACGCAAACCTTGTGCATCGATATGGTGACCAAGAAAATCAAGGGACGGTACACCCAGGACACACTTGGAAGGGTTAATGACCACGCCAAACTGATCGAGGCGGTCAAACACTAAAGCAAGATGTTCTTTGTGTTCCTCGGCATTTCGACTGGCCACCAAGAGGTCATCGATGTAGGCGTACACAAACGGGAGACCACGTAGGACTCGATCAATGAACCTCTGGAATGTTTGGGCAGCATTGCGAAGACCAAATGGCATGCGAACAAATTCGAACAGGCCGAATGGTGTGGTGACGGCAGTTTTGGGAACATCCTCAGGAGCGACAGGAATCTGATGGAAGGTCCGAACAAGGTCAATCTTCGAGAAAACCGATTTGCCGAAAAGAGCTCCAGCAAAATCTTGAAGATGAGGGACGGGAAAACGATCCGGGATGGTCGCATTGTTGAGGGCACGATAGTCACCACAGGGCCGCCAGTCGCCTGATGTTGCCTTGGGCACCATGTGCAGTGGGGACGCCCAAGGGCTCTCGGACGGTCGAATTATTCCCAGTTGCAGCATGTGTTCAAACTCCGCCTTCGCGGCCTGAAAACGCTCCGGTGCTAGTCGTCTCGGTCGAGCAAACACGGGAGGACCTGAGGTGCGGATATGGTGCACAACATCATGTTGAACTTCACCACTGCGAAACTGGGCGTTAATTATATTGGGGTGACTAAGCAGCAGTTGCCGAAAAGGACTAGCAATATCTGTATCCAGGACAGATAAGTTGGTGGGGGCAGTAAATGGAGTTAGTCCACGGACGAACAGACCGGTTTTGCGGTCGAGGAGACGGGCACGTCGACAATCAACAAGGAGATCGAACTCGGCAAGGAAGTCCGAGCCGAGGATTGCATGAGGGACATCAGCAATCACAAAGATCCAAGTAAATGACCGACGAAGGCCAATGTTCAGGGTGAGGGACAGACTGCCAAAAGTGGGAATTGGGGAACAGTTAGCAGCTTGAAGATGAAGACCAGGACTAGGGAAACGGCGATCAGCTGCAGTTGGGGGAACAACACTGATTTGAGCTCCAGTGTCCACCAGAAAATGTCTGCGAGTCGCAGTGTCGCAAACATAAAAGGTGCGACCAGAGCCGGAGGAGCCAGAGAAAACGGTCGCATCTATTCTCTGGCTGACTGGTTTCCCTGTTTTGGCTTAAAAGAGCAAGGTGAGGAACAGCGACGGGCCTTTACACCGAAATTAGTGTGGTACCAGCAAGTATCAGCAGTCCGAGGTCGCGAACGAGAACGACGACGACTGCGTGAGCGACTGGAAGTTAGGCGGGCGAGCTGTATTTTAGGAGAGGCCATCTCATCTGCCATGGCCGACACCTGTTTTAGTAAATGCTCATTCACTGACGATGAGGCTGAGATCTGGGCAACGGAAGGTGACTGGAATTGTTGCACCTCTATCATTCGATCCGCCATCTCAGCCAACTGTGACACTGTGAGATCCTGAGAGCCGGACGCCAGGATCGTTTGAACATCTGTGGGCAGGCGCTCCAGAAACATCTCCTTGACAAATTTATCATCAACTTGCATGTCTCCAAGGAGACAACGCATCCGACGTAAAAGCTCTGAGGGCTTCCGGTCACCCAGTGACTCCTCCTTAATTAACTGGTGATACCTCTGTCGGTCAGACACAGAATTAAGTCGGAGGATTTCTGCCTTTAACGCGGAGTAGGGAGCATCTGCAGGAGGATTAGCTAGCAAAGACTGAACTTGAGAGATGACACTAGCGGGGAGGACCTCCACGAGTTTGTGGTATTTGGCTAGCTCCTTGGTAACGTTGGCAGAATAAAAGGCTGATTCTATGCGGATGAAGTAAAGTTCTGGAGCGTGTTGCCAGAATTCAGGCAAGGTAAAATTGATTGCATGAAGGGACTGGGCGGGGGCATCAAGTTTTTGATCGGAGTGAGACATAATAAGACAGAGATGTCAAAATATCAGAATTCGTGAGGAAAGTAAATGTAAATGGAATAGATATTCACAAGCAAATAGTACGTTAAATGTTATCCAGTATGACAGAAAGCTATAAAGTCTGCGTAAACGTCGGGAGTCACCAATGTCGTAAATGGTAATGTTCTCACGAACTAACGAGTTATATCTCACGAGCCCCTAGCCTTAAATGCAGCAAGTAAATCGGAGCAGTGAATAATATAGAGGTTTTTGAACGCTAAGAAAACTCACAACAGAATACCACAGCAGAGCACGCTAGCAAGGCGGGTTGTCCTGGTGTGTCGTTTCTCGTCACATTCAAACAAGCAATGCGGTCAAAGGAAATGGGACTAAATTGTCAAAGGTAAATTAGTCAGGTACCTCACCACAGTACTTCTGCCGAAGGGAATTTCCAGCGAATCCAACCTACATTCTTGTTTAGTCTACGACTTATGCATGCGCCCTCTAAAATGTCCCTGTCAAAAGGATTTTGTCGCACTGAATGTGGTGAAATTGCGTATCATTTTCGATCTTTGATCTGTTCATGGCTGTCTCTGTGCTCATCAAGTTTTCATTTCTATCCCATTTTATATGTTGGTACTAAAGTCGGCGTCGATGTATTCTATGGGGCCATCCACCCTAGGAGCGGGGCAACCGCAAAAATTACAGCTGTATTATATGCGTAATATTACTAGTAGTTTGCTAGACAATACCACTTCTCTATGGACTGGAGATTTAAAATTCCTCCGTCAGATATCTTAATTTACCAAAATAGTCATTTTCTAATACGCTGCTCAACATTCCGCGCTACTTTTCTGGATTAAGCGGTCGTCAATCAGCTTCAATGAAGTAGTTTTTCATAAATACAAAAACCTCCGAATCGTTTTCTGATGAAACAAAGCAATACCACCACCACCACCACCACCACCACCACCACCACCACCACCACCATCATCATCATCATCATCATCATCCTCATCATCATCCTCATATCCTTCTCATGCTTCATGTTCGTCTTCCGACAGGGCTCATCAGCGCCGGGGTCAGTTTGGTCGTTATCTCCTCGCCGGTGAACCCACAGAGGGCCAGTAGCGTCACCTTTGATTCCCTGAGTGGTTGTGCTCTCATTATCGGTTATATTTTATGCGATTCCCTTACATCAACCACTCAAGAGAACCTCTTCAGAATGTACAGACTGTCTGCTCTGAAGGTTAGTGACGTACTTTCAATCTCACGATCTCTCTACTCTTCTACCTTGCTGTTGGACGGGAGTTGTCATAAGCAGAGAATATTGTACATGTATTCACAGTCAGCATTTGTATTCTCGCCCGTTTGCGAAACTTCCACCCCTACCCTATGCTGGATTAATTCTGATGGCTTTCAAAGCCCATGCACAGATAGCTGTGCACAAACTAACCAATTGTCCCTATTTCAGCGTGCTAGCGCCAAGTGAAGTTAGTGTCGGCTTTTAGTTAAAAAGTTTGCGATCAAAACTGGAGCGCTTACCAGAAAACACGTGGAGCATGCAGGGGGGCCCGCAGATGAGGTGAACCCCCGCAGCTGTGTCATGCAGCGACACAAACTGCGCGCAAACGCACGTCTGGAATTTCAGCTAGTACCTGTGCCGTCAGCTATGGTAGATCGATTAGATAAAACGTCACTGTGAGTACCCGGCAGTTGTCAGTGGTTTCAGCAGTTGGCTCGTGTTCAACTTCAGATTGTCCGGCCCTGGAATTGGGGTAGGACTGACCGGTGACGACAAAATAAGCCAGAAACGCTACCTTCCGTCACGCATATCCCTCTTACCACACATTCGATGATGACTATGTCGCCTCTGTTTCAGTTTACGTGGTGTCTTTTGCGTGAAAGCATCTTTGCAGTATATTTTTATGCGGCAACTGGGATTTCTGACTTAAAACTACTGCACAGACCGAACAATCAACGCCGACCAGTGGGCACCTGTGTCCAATTACATCATGGAAAAAGGCTGTGAAATAAGGCAATCCGTATTAACCAGTAGAAGACCCCTCTCCCGGCCTAGTTATTTAAATGACGCCCTGAGGCAGACAGTATACAGTGCGTAACCGATCTCATGAAATGTTGGCCAAATTTCTGGAATGAGTTTCCGATTAGGAAGGATTATTTAAGTGTGGTTGTTATACTGATTATCACACTGCATAACCCTATAACATTTCGGACTCGCCAGGATATCGCCTTTTGAATGCATTTTTTTCGACCACCTACAGAAACCACACTCGGAAAAAATGACTACTTAAGCAGCATGCATTTTTCGCATTGATTTTCGATGGTCTTATAAATTCATATATATTGTATAGAAAACATGCGAAAGATATGCTTTCTGTTGCTCATTTGGAAAGAACTTACATTGTCTTCATATTTTATCCTCGAAGAAAGTGCATATTTAGGTTTTAAAAAAGTCTCTCATTATGAGAATTTTAAGACCGTGCCATGTCCATGCATGCAAGACCGCAATGTCCGTTTACTAATGCTGCTCATGAAATATACAACACAGTTCGGATCCATTGCAAAATTTCATGAACTCTATGTGGTATCCTCTGAAAGACATAGAGGAATATATGATTTTCCTTACGCGGAAAGCGTGCACCTTGTGGACTGAAATTGCTAAACGCAGGCTGAAAATTATTCGGGAATCGGAAACCTTTTTAAAAACCTAAATACACACTTTCTTCGAGCATAAAATATGAAGACAATGTAATTTCCTTCCAAATGAGCAAAAAAGCATATCTTCCGCATGTTTTCTATACAATATATTTGAATTTATAAGACCATCGAAAATCAATGCGAAAAATGCCTGCTACTTAAGTAGTCATTTTTTCCGAGTGTGGTTTCTGCAGGAGGTCGAAAAGAAATGCATTCAAAAGGCGATATCCTGGCGAGTCCGAAATGTTATAGGGTTATGCTGCATGATAATCAGCATAACAATCCCACTTAAGTAATCCTTCCTAATCGGAAACACATTCCAGAATTTTGGCCAACATTTTATGAGATCGGTCACGTACTGTATGTGTTTAGTCCTCATACTAGAAGCGTGGCACCCGGATGCCGCTTGCATTTATTTTTGAAGACGTTTAATACTCTTTTCAGAAGACTTTGGCTTAAGTGCATGGGCACCTTTATATGTGTTTCAGAAATCTCCCGTCTGTTAATAAGATAATTTGCCTTCCGTGATTTTTCACCTATCCAATACCTAGTCAATAATCATACTGTTTCAGAAGACTTACTCGCTCCTGTGACGGCGTTTGGGTCTCGTAGATTTCCGTTTATATTTCGTCACATGTACTACTTAAATCAACAGAGTACCTGTGTATTTGTAGATGATGTTCGGCTGCAGTTGTTGGTCCGCAGCTTTCACAGTCGTTTCTCTTGCTGAGAAAAATAACCTTGCCTCGTCAGTGGCCTTTGCACAAGAACACCGTGCCTTTCTGGCCGACGTGACTCTTTCAGCTCTCTGTTCTGGCCTCGGCCAAATTCTAATCTTTCTGACAATCTCCCACTTCGGTGCTGCCACCTTTGTGATAATCATGACAATCCGACAAGCCCTCTCCATTCTGGTGTCTTGCCTTCTGTTCGACCATCCTATTAACAGCAATGCTCTGCTTGGTTTTTGTGTCACCTTTGGGGCCGTAGTCTTTCGAATTTTTTACCGTAATAGACGTCCAACTTCCAATAGCAACTCATCGTGACTCTTTTCTGCCGGGTAAGCACGTTTACCCTTACCGTCCTCTACTAAGACAATCTGCACCGGCAGGTACATTTTGTTCTTTTTCCTCGCCCACTATTTTATATCGCCAGCTTCAAAGAACACATCTTAAAACAATTTTTTGAAAACCAAAGTCTTGTTTCTTTGTCCGCCCAGTTGACTTTGATATGAAGTGAAAGGGCTTTCTCCAGAACTTCAAAGGAAATAGGTAACAATGGCCAACGTTGCGATATGATTTGCAAGTTTATTTATAAGCCACCGGAATTCTGGAGGTGGGCGAGTATTTTACAAATGACCACTCACAACCCATATTGTCCACGCCCACAGTTCTCTGGGTTTATGGGCGGAAAAAATTAAGAGAATGCGGTCTTTGGGCAAGGGATTAATTTGACACTTTTCACCGACCTCTCCTGATTATCAGATCGCCTCTACAAACACACTGGTTCCATACGACGGTAGACCTGCTTCGCGGAAAGATGAGATCCGCGGGGATTCAGACGACGGCTATTTCGGTCTAGCCCTAGTTTCCTCGGCCAGCCACCCTCCCGACTTACACCCGTCGTCGGAAACGCATGCGTTCACGCTAGCTCCGCGCAGATCGTCCACTGACTAAGTCTAACCGATGACTCATCAGCACCACTGAACCGAAGTCTATCGGCGCCTGCACCTGCTTATCTCTGCGGGCTTGGTTGACATGTTGGTGAATAGAGTCGTGGCCGTGCCTGTACTAGCTGCTGCCTCTGTCTCCCCTCACCTTTGCCAGTTTCCCTCCCTCACGTTTTTTACTCGTTCGTTTTGCGGCCTGTTGCGTTTTTTCCCAGTTAATGAGCAACGCCAGAAGGCTCTATGTGGTGGGCGAGCGTTTAATCCTTCGTGGCTCATGCACTAGCTGACCAGGTTTCTTTACTTACAACATAATATAAGAATACGAAACGTATATGGTCAAAAAGCAGGTGCTGCAAATGTTCTACCTCCTGATCTAGTGCGGTTGCACATCCAAGGTCGATCTAATGGTCGTCACTTTGATTTCTCTTGGGCATTCGCTTCCCGGTTGTATGAGTTTTATACTTCTATGGTTTCTTGTAATATTAATAGTCTGCAATCAGCAGTTAGTTGGGGGTGTTCGACGGACGATCGACTGCATAAACTGTTTTCAAATGCAAAGTTAAGTCTTCCTCCAACTTTCTACCTGATCGTTTGCAATCTTTGCCTTCTTGAACTCGGTCCCTGTCGTAGGAAAGTAAAAGTCTAAAATGTCGACCATAAAAGAGTAAAATATCGAGATCTCATCGGTCATCATCCCCTGTGCTGCATACTTGTGATGTTCGTGCTCGACATCAGTTAACCTTACGCAGACTATATTTGTGACCTTTTGATGAGTGTGCTTCCTTCGATTATCACCCAAGAGTCTCCCAGAGGTCACTTGCTTTTGAGGTATTTTTGAAATACTTTTGAACAAAACCGAAGTCTATTTCTTTGCGAAAATCGATACTAGTTATTATTTTCACTTGCGCGTGATAGGGACGTGACTAAGCCGGATCCGGTCGACCTCACCTTTCCTAAAGCGTGTTTGAAATTTATGACGTGCGTGGATGCCCAGCGACTGCCCAGGACTGCCTGTTAGAAATTGTATCCTCTAGCTTTTCAGTTCATTTAAAACTGACCGCAAAACACCAGTGGTACCAGAGCCGACTTATTTGAAGATCGTGTGCGCTACGTTCCAGCGCTCTTAGCGAGCTTTGCGGTTTTTGTAGAGCAGTCGATATGCCACGCCTCGGTATTCCTCTCCTATGCCGCTGACCCTGATCGGTCAATTACTGCCTATTCGTCGAGCGGGAGGGTCTGCTTATTATCCATGAGGGCCACGGGCAGACCCTGTCTAAAAATCAGAGACTACTTATGGAAGTCTGTGCCCGGTGACTGTCTGAGAAATTAGACGGTAGGGTACGGATATCTGTACCCCTAGGTGTTTTTGCGCCATAGTTCAGGGGAGGGGATACACATATCGGTCTTCAGTCAAAGAAGCAGGTGTTAAGTCGAACCGAGCGGAGTTTGAAGGGGACTTACCTTAAAGCGACTTTCGCAAGACAACGAATAAATCGTGAGAAAGTTATAAAACCTCTGAACATCTGGACCTAAAGGCAAATGCCTAAGCCAAGTGCCGTTTGTCGGTCCTTTGCCGTTCCCTTGGCAGTCGGTTATGAAATTTTGGCAAAAAACATAGACAGGTGAGACTTGAAGAGAGAGGAGCATTCCGTGCCAGTTTATATCGGGTGAGATGCCGCAAATTCTGTCAGAGGAGTCGTTTTGTGTCTTAGTTGATTTCCCGCGTAAAACTGGTAAAAGGCCTGAGCCGTCGTGCTCGTTGGATCGCGTCAGTCCCTAGTGCTTGACTGTTTAGTGGCTAGATTTCTTTTGTGTAGCTTTTAGTTTTCGAGTCAACCTTGGCCGAGGCTAAATATCCGCGTTTCAATGACTTCACTTCATGTTTGTTCACTCATTTCGGAAGTAAATACCTACCGGATCCTCAGTACGACAGTTTGACCGTCGATTCCGGCGATGCCACACAGTAGGGTGCATCAAACACGGTGACTTGTGCGTTAGTTAGTCTATGTTGAATATGGACTTGCGCAGCATCCACCGCACTCTCTCTTCCGCACTTCCCACCTGGACTCGGTGTGAAGACGGAGTCAAAGAACACTGGGAGAGGGGGAGAGCGCAGGTGACTGGCACGGCCGGACCCGTACCTAGGCGTGCCGCCACACTCCCTAGTCCACTACATACACTTGACCAGAATTTTTTACCAACAACAACAACACCCCAGCAAGGGTCAGAACGGCGAGAATGATGACTGGGCAGCCATGCCCACCACCTGTGTATCTGGCGGGAACGCAAGTGCATCTACCGACAGGCCACCAGGTTTCAGAGAACTGCCAGTGCGCACCAGGCTGCGAGGGCCGTGGTTTGCTGGTGTTGGCATAGCACACACTCTGAATTTTGACCGGATCCTCGCTAAGACCCATCATCAGAGTCAGTCGCAGAATAAAGTAGTAGATGCACAAGGAGCGCGGCATTAATAGGATGCAGTGACCTGGCGGCCCCCTGCCTACAATTAGCAGCACCCGCGTTCATGACTGGCGGTTGTATTTGATGTGGTGATTGCCTATCGGTCCCTGTTGCCCGAGTCGTTAATTGCCGTGACTTCATCACCGTTGTTAATTCTTGGCTTAACTATTACTCGGCCATTTGGCCGGAGATGTTGGTCGCCCGCGCCATTTCCGCCCACGCGGACAGCTGGAGCGAACAACGTGCTGGCAAATGTATGGCACTAGTACCTGCCGTTAATCTGGGGTGAGAACACCATTTTTCGATGAAGATCTCGTTGGTTTTGCCATTAAGTCGTGTCAGTATCAATATCACCAGTCTGCAGTTTACGAGGCATAATTAAAAAAAACGGTCGGCATCTTTTGGGGCACCAAAGAGACCTAGTTTCCCAAATGAAGGTAATTTGGAACCGCAAATAAAGTAGCTTTTTTCACTAGTGCCAGGTATGAAACCGGTCAGACAAACAGGGTCGGAATGGCAAGCTACTGCCATCGGTCAATATTAGCCCAAACAAAGACCGGACAAAACGGACTATAGCGGTTTCGGTCCTCTTTGTTGGTAATGAGTTTCGTTCGTTGATTGCTCTTTCCTAGTTGGCAGCGTACGATGGCTCAAAACTGGTGCTCTAAAACAACGGTAGACGTCCGTATTCCGCACTGGCGTATGGACAGGGATCGGCAAACGCTGCTGCCCTGTGGCACCAATACCACCGCCACATTTTGGGCAACCCGAGTGGGCACTTCCTGATGCTCTGGGTTGGTTTTAGAACAAGAGTCTGTCTTCCTATAATCTGACGGTCCGGGCTAAATGCAGGGCTGCATGTTGCCCTCTTAGGTCAAAAGGTCTGAAGGCATGTGCTATGCCAGTATCAACACGGCCCTCGCAGCCTGGTATGCACTGGCAGTTCTCCGAAACCTGATGCCTTGCCGGTAGATGCACTTACACCCCCGCCGGGTACACAGGTGGCTGCCCAGTCATCATCCTCGCCGTTCTGACCCCTGCTGTGGCGTTGTTGTTGGTAAAAATCCTGTCATATGTATGTTGTGGAATAGGGAGTGTGTTGGCACCCACAGGTGCGGCTCCGGCCGTGCCAGCCACCTGCGCTCTCCCCTTCCACCAGTGTTCTTTGACTCCGTCTTCACACCGAGTCCAGGTGGGAAGTGGGGAAGAGAGAGTGCGGTAGATGTTGTGCAAGTTTGCATTCACAGTAACCTAGTTCACGCGCAAGTTACCATGCCTGCTACACCTTGCTATGTAGCACACGTTGGAGACCATCGGACTTGACGGTCGAACTGTCGTATAATCTGACGCGTTTTAAGACTATCACGGCAAGCTAAAAGACGTGGCTTGGAGGGGTGTCAACTGATAGGGTAACTCAATCCTCTCAGGACGGAGAGCCTTATTCACTGAATCCTTCTTGATGTGGCCTATATTGTACTCCTGATCAGATGGGATTCGAGCCGCACCCTTGTTTCTCTGAAAAGCGCGGACAGGATGCATGTGGCGGGCGTAGATGGGCTTTTTGGCTTTGTCAGCCATTGTGCACGAGCGCGCTTCCAGTCCACCTGAATCTGTCTTTCCACTGGGCTCAGGTGGGTGAGGGGGCGGGAGTGTAGCAGATGCTGCGCAAGTCTGTCGTCACCAAATTAATTTACATCCAAGTCAATTCCCCGCGCCCACCACGTTGTAGGACAAACGGTAAGCCTTGGTTTTCGCGATTGTCGAACTGAGGGGGATTCTGAAGCTCGTTTTGTGCAAGTAATTATAAGTTCGAGGTCGGCAACTAGTGCTTGTTAGATTGGGCACGCACACACCCTAATCTTCGTGGAACGCCGGTGCTGGCTCATTTGAAACTCGTCTTCTAATGGGTTATAGCCT